GGGGGTGTTCAGCCTGGAGAAGAGGAGGCTCAGGGGAGACCTCATCACCCTCTGCAACTCCCTGACAGGAGGTTGGAGTCAGGTGGGGGTTGGTCTCTTCTCCCAGGCAATCACCATCCCTGGAGGTTTTCAAGCTGAGACTGGATGTGGCACTTAGTGCCATGGTCTAGTGACCATGGGTAGGGTTGGACTCCATGATCTTGGAGGTCTTTTCCAACCCAGTTGATTCTGTGATTCTATGATTGAGGTAAGAACTGTTTTGGTATATTCAACTTTACTAAATCCCCCTCATTACTACTTTTGCAGTCCTTTTCCAAGCTCTGAGAGGTGACCCAGCCCTGGGGATAAAACCTTTCTTATGTTCAGAGCTGTTTCATGCCTAAGTGGCAGTGTCTGGGGCTGTTTCCTGTCCCTCTTCAAGAGGGAGGGCTGCAGTGTTTCGTTAAAAATTTAAATCATCTTGCATTTAAGAGATGTGAACCCACCCCAGGAGTTCCAGCAGTAAATTGACCTAAATCTGACACCAAGGTTCACATTCTGAACTCAGCTAAAAGGTAGTAGCGAACATAGAAATGAAGACAAAAAATATAAAGGTATTAAATATTTCAAGTCTTACTGTTCACCTATAAATAGGTAACTGTTATGAATTCTTCATTGTATCCCTCTGGAGATGGGAATTAATCCAGTCTCCAGCTGCCTGCGACTGAAGGTCATGAGTCACAATGAATTAGAGGAAAATTTGTAGCAGGATTTTGCAGGCTCTGGTTCCTGACTTCAGGTTTCAGGCTCCAGCTTGGAAGGTTTTTTGGGCTCTAGCTGTTCCCTGTAACGTGTCAGTTGAAAATTAACGAGGCTTAAATTAGGGGCAGCATCCCCTTGCACTTCCAAGCTTCCCAGTATGACCAGACTGTAACCACTGAAGTGCTCCATGGTGTAACTCCAGAGGCTAATAGCTTAACCTTGCCTAATGATACCCCAGAGGTAAAGAGACTCCTTCATGCTGGCTCTTAACTCCATCTGTGTAGTGCAAAGGAAACCTGCAGTGGTTGGTTTTATTCACCATAACTCCTTATCTGAGCTTTTATAATCCTATCCCATTAATTGAGGTCTTTAACTGCCTTGAACAGAACCAGTCAGCTTCAAGGGAAAAAAAATAAATTGTAACTGAACTAACTCCTGTTGGGTTTCTTTTGGCTGGAGCTGGAAATGCTACAAGATATTAAAGAGGGAGTCAGCTGTGCCTTACATTTTAAGAGCTTGCCAGATGGCTGCTCAGAGTACCCTAAATTATTAAGACTGAATATGTAAAATATTACATTTTCTGACAGCTTACTGCCTTTTTATATTTCCCCCCTTAATGTAGGCTGTGCAAGTTCCTCAGTTTCACTTGGGTTTGTTGTTTTTTTTTTTCCATACCAGTAAAATGTGGTTGTTAGGAATTTCAGCAATACAGAGAACTACAGTGTTGGGTGGAATATGTAATTTGAAGGAACAAAAGCTCATGTTGCTTTCTCTTTGCATTAAATAAGCATGTCTTTAAAATTGAATGGGATGCTGAAATAGTTTGCCTTATGCAACATTTACAAATGCACAGTTTTAGTGTCTCTTTTTTCCTTTTTGCTCTTGGGATGTGAAATTTTTATTTATTTAAAGGGCTGATGGGAGGGGACTCAAAGTCATTTAGAAGCTCTTCATTGTCCAGCAGAGAATTCCTTCCAGGCTTTGAATTTATAACAGTGTAGGTGGAAGTGAGGGAAAAATAGTTAGGAATCTGTAATTTGCAGTTGCTGTGTATTGGGATCCTCTGCTGAAAGCCTTCAGTCAAAACACGTCTTGCTGCTGAGGCTTGAGCTTCCTTAGGAGCTGTTTCCATCTGTTCCTTAAACAGACCAGTTAAACTGAGACTGAGTACAGATTTCTCCTGTCTTCGTTTTTATAAAGTGAAAACTCAGTAGCTGATGTGCTAAATCCAGTTAGGAGGAAAAATAACAGGGAATAACTCTGCAATTGCAGTATTTCCTCATGATGTGTTGTTGTGTCCAGGGTCAGTCACTGAAGAGAAAACTGCTGTGGGGTTTTAGCTCCCTGTTGGGAAGGAATATATTGTATTTTCATGATAAACTTCTCAGGACAAGTAACCATGTGGAGAGGTAGGGAAACATCTCTTAATGATAGTGGGAAAGTCAAAAACACTTCATCCCCTTCTACTCTGGTAACACATTTGTAAAGCAGCACAGATATTTGGTGTAGAAGTACCTACACCTCTGGTTCCAAACCCATGTCCAAACTCTGATCTCCAGCTTATCTCCAATTTGCTACAAAGTGTAACCTCAACCTGTCGTGCTTTGCATGAAGGTGATGCTTCGAGTTTCTTTGCCAGGGGGCCAGGAGTGCACATTGCCTTTGCACAGCCCCAGAGATGGGTTTGGGAGCAGACAGATGGGGATGTCAGGCGTGCTTGGCTCTGCCCAGGCCACATGTTGGGCCTTGCAGAGCAGGAGACATTCCTGAGCTCCTCACCCAGCCCAGGGCAGGCAGTGTGGGGAGGGAAGTGCTGTGCAGCTTTCCCATCTGTTTGCTGACCAACCTCTTTTACTGCTCGGGTTAGGGAGGGAATGTTTTTAAGCTCAGATTTATTACTCTGGCCAAGCTGGGCTGGCAGTTCTGGCTGTAATGTATAGATCTCTGTTGTTTATTGTTCTGTCATGTGAATCATATGAAAAATAAATGAGAACTAAATTTCATTGCCTGTGCCTGGCAAACAAGGGAAAATTAGGTGACCCAGTTATGTCCATTTGCAGTGTGTTAGATGCACCAGGACAAGCTTGAAGGATTTAGTCTTTTAACACAGTTTAGTGAAGAATGTAATCATTTCAGGCTAAAACTGCAGCTGCTGAAAGGCACAGGTTGGTCTTTTCTTGTGGGAGAGGAATTGCCAACTGGCACTGGGGAGCAGAACCATTCTGAGCTGCAGTAGGTGAGTACTGCCAGCCCAAACCTTCCTGTTGGCTTTGCACATCTGCCTCATCCTTACCTGGAAAGACCAGTCCCAGGCCCCAGAGAACAGTGCATTCCATGGGGCTTCACCAGCCTTTGGCACCTCTTCCTTTAGTGCCAAGTAATCCAGGATAAGATTCCTAGAAAATCAGCAGAGCCCCCAGTGTTTCTCTGCTTAGGCCACTATGGGTTAGTGAACGTGTCACTGAGCTGTGGAATCACTGTGCTGTTCATTTCTCTGGATGAACAGTTTTCCAGCTGAGTCCTATTAATGCCATGGACATTCCTTTAGTCCAGTACACAGTGGGTCCTGTTTTTCTGTCTCCCTGTCTGGATCTTTGTGCTGAAGATATAATTGAAATGCTGTTTTTCCAGGACTGTATCTCACATGCAATATAATATCTCTGGCAAGAACAGGTCAATAAATTAATTGTGTGTTTTAACTCTAAACAGGAGGATTCATTAGTGCTGTTAATAAGTTTGTTGGTGATGTACAGGATGTGTAAGAAGAGTTTTGATCTTTGCTGATCAGCTGACATTCAGCTGTCAGCATCCTGCCCTTGGCATGTTGCATCTTGATGCCAGCTCAGTTTCCCTGTGTGGCTGTAATTAAGTGACATTTACATTTAGAACATATTTCCTTCCAATGACTGTGCCTTACATTTCAGCTTAAAACCCCCTCTAAGCTCCTGATGTTTGGGGAAGCAGCACAACCTCTTAAGTGGTAGAACCTAATTTAACCTCCTGGTGTTCAGGGAAGCCTTTGACCTTTCCATATGGACATCTTTGAACCTGTTACTATTACTGCTCTGCTTTTAAGTTTCTCTGTATGTTAAATACCTTCTGTAGCAATCTCTGAGCCAAGTGTAAACCACTGTAAGGAAGTAGAATTATTCGGGATGGAGGATAAGGCTGAATTGAAACTGGAGTCTTTGTGCTTAAAATAGTTTTCATTTCCATGGTAAAGGACTTTGCATGGGTTTATCTGTTCTTAAATCCTGGCTGGGAATGTAAGTCCATTGGGGAAATGTGGTAAGTTTGAGAAATGATTTTATGTTTTATATTCTATTGAAACCTAAGTTAGAAAGTGTTCAGTTATTTTTTTTCCTCACACAGTACGTGGTGTGAGTTAAGCTTTGACAGAACCTCTTGACCAGGAGAAAATCTGCATCTTCCTGTGTGAGGGCAGAGTGATGCTCAGCCCTACCTGGGTCTGGCATTAGCAGGGGAAAGGGAGCAGTCACTGTTTGGTTAGACTCTGAGCTGCTTGGCTTAGAGGCTGATGTGATGGATAGGAAGTCATCAATCCTTCCCACACGCTGATACCCAGGTGTGAACCATGTTCAGAAATATGTCACAAATCTGAAAACTGAAAGTCTCTAACTATCTCTGGCTGTTGGTGACTGAACAGTGAGACTGAGCTGAAAAATTCTGCACAAACAGTTTTCCAGCTGAGATTTCCAGTGCCAATCTTTGTAATTGCTGCATTCAGATAACGTAGGCATAGCTGAAAACAATAATTTTGGTCAGAATCAGCATGCTTTACATTTCTGCTCAAATCCTTGGTAAGCTGTGCCTATTTTGGGTTCATTACTAGACCAAATTACATGGCACAGTGTTTATTGGTTTTTCTGGGGAGTTGGGTTTATGCTTAAAGCTTCCTAAAGAATGCAAAGCTTGAATGCATTTCATTCTCCAGTGGTTGGGAATGTCATTGGTATGGTCAGGGTGGGAATCCTGCAGATGAAGAATGGCTTGAATTTAAAAAAAACTTACTGTTTAAAAGGAGAAAAGGTCTCCAAACTCCAGACAAGGCTGAAGTTATATGAATTTCATCTAGACCTTGCTCTAAAGGCCACTGGGATTCAAGGCACACTGAGGGAAGGATTTTAGCTTGTGTGTATGTATTTGTTTAACACTTTGCTCCTCTCTTTTCACAGGGCAGTTTCCTCAGACATTTTTCCCAGCTGCAGTTGTTACTCAGGACTGAGCACGTGGTTTGCCTGCTCTCCTGTGGATTCTAGGAGCAGGTACGTTGGCAGGGGCATCTCAGGTTTGGTGGTTGGGGAGGAGGCAGCAACCAGTGCATCCTTGTGCCACAAAGAGTTGTAGGCACGGGGAAATTCTGCTGAAGTCGTTTCATTAAGTGGAGCAGATTCATGTAGCTTTTGTAAGGAAACAGTTGCTAAGTACCTTGATCTTTCAGTCCTTCATTTGTAAAGATGGATCTCCTGAACACAGAGCAGCTTCACCCATGGGTTTGGAAGTTTTCTGATGTAATATATGTTGGGCAACATTGTCATCCTGAACTGTGTCTCGCACAAGGTTTATGTAACAGGAACAGAGATAGATTCAAATGTTTCATGCTGGGTCTTGGTCCTGTTTCAAGACTTTTATCCTTCCACTCTGATATCATCAAGTAGCAAGAGCTGTCTTGGCTGAGGTTGTCACTCAAAATGATCGTTTTGTATCAAGAGCAAAACTCTGTTGCTCTCAAAGCTTAATTTACTCTCTTTATACATATATTTTGAGCCATATTGAGTGCTTTGCTTCCCATGTTGCTTCCTGTGTGAGGAATTCACCAAATGGGCAGGATTTAGGTTCTTTACCCTGTTATTTAGCTGCCTTCATGACAAATCCATCCTGGCTGAAGGTGCCTTGAGAAGAACCAGCTTTAGATAGGAATTTCCATCACCCCTTTGAAAGTTTGAAAATAAATAAACAGCTGGAGGATAATTAAGCTGGAAAACAATAACAACATGCACAGACCAGAGGTGCTGTAGTGTACCTGACATGCAGAGCAATGCTGGACTGGGTCTCCCCAGCTGGCACAGGGGCAGCAGTGGCATCTCCCTGCTGCTTATAGATGGTGCCACCTGTTGATAGAATTTTAGGTGAGAGTTGTCTTACCACATTTCAGCTTTTTGCTGTTGTGCTTTGTCTTTTCTAAGTTGATTTCTTTGGCTACTTGTGCAGCACCTTCCAGTACAAAAAAAAAAAAAAAAAAAGGTGTGTGTTAGTATAATATTGAGAACCTGCCACAGCCTTCCAGGCTTATTTAGGGTCTTGATACATGTTTATTGATTTATCAGTCTCTGGATAAGCACAACTTAATGTCCCTTGTTCATTGTCTTACTGTTGGGACACTTGTTAGCCCTCAGTAAATGCACTGTGGAGCATATGCTTAGGAACAGAATCCAGTTTGCTTGAGTTGACACTGCACAGAAATATTGGACTGTTTGTTCCCCCTTCAGAGAGCAGTTTGCTGATTATAGCAAAAGGCTGTGATCACCTTTCACACTTCTAGGCTGCAAGTTTCCCAGCAGAACCATCTCTAGCAAATCAGCTTCTTGCAGATCTTCCCACTGAAACTTGTTCCAGAGGGACTGGGGATAGATCCTACTTGCTTTTCCTGCTGTTATCTCCCTGCTCAGTCATGTGGGTGGCAAAGCCAATCCCAGCAGCTGCTGCTCGAGTTTGCATTACTTCTGACTCACTCAGGAGAGCCCTATGTGTAATTTTAAACTGTTTCCACACCCAAATTACTTTCCTTAAAAGTAATGATGAAAATGAAGCTAGGGGAGAGGTTGGTAATGACTGCAGGAAACCATTACAGGGCAAACAGTGTGTTGGACCCTGCTGGGATACAGCCTTCACTAGGCATTCCTCATGTGGTGTATTCCCTGGGTTACTGAGGGGCAGGAAATCAGATTTGTAGCTTAGTGTAGGGCCAGAGCCAGTTCTGGGAATGAAAACTATTTGGAGACCTGCTCTGGAGCCACTTCTCCAGGCTGTGAGTGGTGCTGGCTCACACCAGAATTGTGGAATGGGTTGGAAGAGACCTTAAAGACCATCCAGTTCCATCCTGTGCCATGGGCAGGGACACCTTCCACAGCCCAGGTTGCTCCATCCAGCCTGGTCTGGAACACTTCCAGGGATGAAACAGCCACAGCTTCTCTGGGCAACCTGTGCCAGTGCCTCAGCACCTCACAGGGAAGAATTCCTTCCTAATATCCACTCTGAACCTCTTGTCTGTCAGTCGAAGCCATTCCCCCTTGTCCTGTCACTCCAGACTCTCGTAGAGTCTCTCTCCACCTTTTCTGTCAGCCCCTTTGGGCCCTGGAAGGGTTTACATTTCTCCAACACACAGCACCTATAAGAGGTTGGGTTAGTTTGTGGCACTGCTGTATTAGTGTGTTACTTAAAGCATCATTAGATTCTAAATTTCAGTGTAAGTTTTATACTATTGCTGACTTAAACATGATTCAGAATCATTTGTAAGAGCAGGTGAAGAATATGCCTGAATGGTTTTTTGTCTTGGTAAACACCCCATTGTGGAACTTAAATAATTACCAGATACACAGCAAAGTATAATCATGCTTTGTGCATTAGAATTTAGTACAGTCTGTTTATTCCATAACATAATTATGGTTTATTAAACTAAAAAGCAAAACTTCAGCTCTTAAATGATACAAGAAAGCATGATAAACTCTGCTCCTTCCCTGCTCCTCTTAACTCTTCTTTCTCTCCAAGGCCATGTCACAAATTTTGATAACTTTTCCAAAAGTGCAGTGGCCTTTTTATATGATATATAATGGGGAAAAAAAAGACAGACAGAGGAGAAAGATTTAAGAGTTGAGGTTTCACACAGCTTTTGCTTAGCCGCTGCGGCCTTGATGGCTGTGCCTTCTGCATCCTGTTTGCATTCTGCTTGTGCTTATTTATGGAAAAACCCAAACCCACAGACTCTTCTGTCAGGGTGATTCTTTCATCTAGTTGTTCAAATTCTTTTCCTACTCCTGCAGGAACATAACCACAGCTAATGAGCTGGTGGGGACGTGAGCATCACCCTCTGTGAAGGTTGGGGTTGCATATGTAAGGCCCAATTTAGCTGTTGACGTCCTCAAGGATTTCTCCTAACTCTCCAGGCTGTCAGTGGCACAAACTGGGAGCTTGGAAATGAAGCTTTTCCTGTATTCCTGTTTTTCTCCATTACCTATTTCAGTTTGTCTTTTTCTGGTTTTATATCCTCAGGAAATCCAGGAGCTGGCAGGAGGGGAATGAACCGTGAGGGCGTCCCCGGAAAGAGTCCGGAGGAGATGTATATTCAGCAGAAAGTCAGAGTTCTACTCATGCTGAGGAAGATGGGATCAAATGTAAGATGTACTTTATAGCCCATATTTTGTGGTTTCCCTGACAATTCTGTAGTCCCTGGGATGGTCCTTGTTGAGATGTGCAGGTGATGGTTTGGTTTTATCACTGAATTGTTTCAGCCATCATTGACTTAACCATTATCTGCAGTTAGACACAATTGATTTTTGCTCAAACATTATGAGGCTTGGGATGTCTGAAACTACCATACATAGATAAATGATCAGATGTTTAGATGTAAAGCTTTTCACTAGTGGAAAACCAGCAAAATAAAGCAACTGGTTTAAGGTGACTTTGTATCTCTCCGCGATGATGTCCCAGTTTGCTGCTGTGTCCTTGCTGATGGTAGAGCTGCACAAAGAACAGGTGATTAGGCTGTTCAAGTGCAGAATAGAGGCAACTGTGCTGTTTCTTGCTGGGGAATGGGGGCTGATCTCTGTAGTCTGTCCTTTTTGCTGACTGCCTTGTGCCTTCCCAGCTGACTGCCAGCGAGGAGGAGTTCTTGCGCACGTACGCAGGAGTAGTGAACAGCCAACTTAGCCAACTCCCTCAGCACTCCATCGACCAGGGTGAGTACTGCACTTGTGTGCCTTCTGCTTATTTCATCCAGGACAATAAGCTCAGAAAAGGGTCCTGATTTCTATCTGCCACGTGCTCAGATCCATCCTGCAGTTTGGGATGTGTCATACCCTGCAATAGGCTTTGGAGGAGAACTAGAGTGGACAGCAGGTAAAGTCAGTACTCTCTGTACCTGAGATTCATTAGGTTGAGCAGCATTGTCAAACACTTCATTCTCCATATCACTCAAGATATGGATGGCCAAAGTCCCTTGAGCAGAGTGAAGGTACAGAGCTTCCTGTTCTTTCCAATACCTCAAACAGAAATGAATTTTAACCTGATATATTCCTTTTTTTTATTTTGCTGTAGGTGAAGTAAAATTCAGGTCCCTCTAGGTCTGAGTGTCTTACTCTATTCAGTATAGATCCTCTTCATAGCATGACATTCATCTTAATTGTGACATCTATTCTAGAGCTGGATAGCTGTGCCTGAAAGGGAACAAGACTGGGGGTGGTTTGCAAGCACTTTGCACTCTTCAAACTGGGAGCTCTGTAACAAAATGTAAAGTAAATAGATTCCCAAGGTCCAAAAACATGTGTTAGGCATGTGATAATTTAGTTACTGTGACCTTAGTTGCTTGATAACACTTTTCTCACAAAATTAAATGGAATCACCTAACAATGTCTTCCCTTTTCCACGTCTCCATGAGTGTGGAAGTGCAGTGTTACTATTTCAGCAGGGTAAGAGGGAAAGATTAGCAATAGGAGGAATTAGCTTCCCATTGCTTTCCTTTCCTTTGCACAGTGTAATTAATTCCCAGACAGGGGTAGGAGACACGTAATAAGTTTGCAAATCTGCTTTGGTTTGTTTAGGTTCCCATTAAGGGGATGAAGGACGTGCTGGTTGTGTTAATTCTGGGCAGAAGTCTTGGTAAACAATGCTGTGGAGCTACTCTGAATCCACTAATCTCTTCTGAACCTCAATGTTTCTTACTGAATTTTTTTCCTCCCCTGCTTAGGCCTCGTGCCAAATCACATTCATAATGTACAGTTTGGTGTTGGAGGAAAATTTTAACTCTTATGCCAGAAAGAACTGAGTTGAGCAGGAACTTAATATAGATCTAAGACATTTAGAAATCCATTAGAAACAAAACCTGCACAAACTTGCCTTTCCCTTTTGAGGCTGTGTGTTCATTCCTCACATAGCTGGGGCTGATGGAAGTAGATATACTTGTGTGTTTTGGCTCAGAATTCTGCAACTCCTCTGCCAGTCTGAAGAGAAAACTTGTCAGTTTCTTGTCAAAAACTGAGATAGACACATTCAGTGAGGAGAAACTTGTCTTAGTTGCAGTTGGCACTTTGCAGTGTTATCTCCAAAGTAGCCACATTTCTCACCATCGAAATACCTGTGGAATTACCTGCAAGGAGAGATGATGAAAACAGAAGTCCAGGCAGGGGACGTGGATACTTCCTACAGCTGTGCTCCTGCACAGCTTGATCCAACTGCACTGTCTAAACTGTCTGGTTTTATTTTCTGTGAAATTATATTTTCTTCCCTTGCAGAAGGCTTTGGAGACTCAAAAAACCTGAATTTTGACATGACTTTTAAATGTAATCCAAAGAGAGACCAGCAGTTCATTCATTTGCTTCTAGACTCACTCATGCAGTGCAGGAAACACAAGAGCTTCACCCATTGTTCAGAATGTTGTCTTTGTCCCATGTTTGAATAGATACTGAGATTTCTCTGCCATCGTTTTCTACAAGTCCTTGAAGATTCTTAAAACTTCATCCCCAGGGAGATCAAGTCCTCCCTCTCTTGGATGGAATCTGAGACTCTGCTGTCTTTCCTGGGAGATCTGACCACAATCTATCCTCAGTCCTCCCAAATTCCACTTAAGCTGGTGGCCTGAGCACTGAGATTTTTTCTGGGCAGGGAAAAAAGAACAAAGCAAGAAAACAGTTAAATATTTAAAGTAGGGAAGGATGTTCTGTTCACCTTCAGAGACTCCATCTCTCCAGATTCAGTGGTGACTAGCATGAAATGCAAATGGAATTGAGGACTCCTAGCCCAATACCTTTTCCTTTGGAGAAAGGTGAAGCTGTGGTGTGCTGCACAGGCAGAAACAACTCTAATTTCTTGCTCAGGACTTGGATTTCCTCAGAAGTCTCTCCAGGTTTGCAACAGTCAGTGCTGCTGCTGCTGCTGCTCTTTGCTCTCAGGTGTGGTGGCTCAGGCAGCAGTGATCACTGCTCTGTCTGTCCCTTTGGCCGTGCCCTGGGGTTGGTGACACAGGAAGGGTCGATTATGAAAGGATTGGGAACAGGGAATACAACCTCAGGAGTGTCCAATTTCCCACCTCGAGGGAGGTTCCATCTCCACTAGATGGCATTGTCTTGTGCTGAAAAGTCCATCCCAAACACACTGACTCTTCTGTCTGCTCCAGCATTGCTTAAAGGAATTTTCTTCTCTGCTTTTCTGCTGTTTTCATTGAATCTCCTCTGGAGGATTTCCCCCCCCCCCCTTTATGCAACTTGCCTTACACAACAAGGCAAAGGTGTTGTTATTTAAGGAGTAACTTTCAACGAGTTAGCACTTCAGTGGCTCTCACAAGCCTTTGTTCCACAGGACAGGTTGCTCTCAGCCCTATCTTTAGAGCCATTTCCCTCAGCAGGCACACAAAAGACACAAAGCTGATTTCACATCCCCATTTCATTCCAAAAAGAAAAGAGTGACGTCCTTGGCCTTAGCACTCAGAGCTCTGTCAGCCCTGCAGGTGTCTGGGTGTCATTAAACGCTGCAGTCTGGCCCCAGAGTGCAGCAAGGTTGTTTGGTTCCTTTTTTTTTTTTTTGTGACAAGAGCATAAAGGATGGATGGTCCAGGATTTTATGAGTGCATCCCAGCCTCCATGACAATTGTTCTGCTTTTATTTGTTGTGCACCCATGCGATACTGTCTTAGAGCAGCTGGTTGTGGCCTCAGAGCAATTACCTGAGGTAGGACTGCTGGGCTTGTCACTTATGGTGGTGCTTCCTACTCTGATTTCTGATCAAGATCTGTCAGCTCCTTTGTGTGAGGCTGTTTGTGTGACCACAGGGAGTCACTGCAGCCTCTGTGTCCACATTTGCTGCCGTGTGACAGTGCACTGAAGACAGAAGTTTATGCTGTCCCTGCTGAATTCAGGCTTGGGCCATGAACCTCCAGTGAGCCACTAGTAATAACAGTTTCTCTGGCATTTAAAGTTCCTCCCTGTTACTCTCTTTGCTGTCTTTGGGTTCAGCACTGGAAGTTAATTGCTAATTTGGATCAAGAAACATCTTAGCATACCTCTGTAATGGCTAAGCAAGCCTGAGGGCTAAGACTCCCCTTCAGTTTGTGTTTGCTTTTATTGGAAGAGAAATTATATCCTTTATCTTGTTATTTCTTATCTTGCTTTCCAAAGGAATTCATCTGCTCAGATGTAGAAAATCACTGGGTTAGGATTGTTTACAGATTTCCTTCCCCCCTGAAGCACCTGCATTGCTGTGGGAGGGAATCTTGTTTTCCTGACAGGAACCTCAGAGTGACTGATTGCATTGCTGAGTATCTTTGTGGAAATCAGGGAATAATGACACACACCCTGAGCTCTCTCATTTGCTGGAGCAGATACCAAATTGAAATTAGTGCAAATCTTTCTAGAATGTGTTCTAAACTCTTCACATTTATAGCTGCAACATCTATTGGGGCAACAGGTCTGAGTGAGCAGAACATGTACTCCAGGCTTAAAATAGTCTTTTTTTCCCTGTATTTTCAGTGTATTCCAGACTCTCAGGAAGTGCTTAGTCCCTCAGTGTGTTAACTTTGCTACACTTCTCTCTCAAAGGTTTATCTGATGTATTAGAAATACTTTATGACCCACTGAAAGGTGAACTGCTAGCAGAGGGGAGGAGCTCTCATCAACCCAGAAGAGCTTGAACAGCAGTTATAAAACTAAGCTGAGGCATTTAATACTTAAATTTAATATTGATTAAGGCTCTAAACATTAATGTCCTGCTCACATTTCTTCATCACCGTTTTATTTTTCCATCGTTGCAGAAATGTTGTTAACACCTGTGTGAGAGTGCAAATTGCAGAGCCTTTTGCTTTGCTCAGGGAGCTTTTTAGCTGACATCTGTGGGTTGTTTGTTGGTTTGTTTTTATGGCTCCAAGAATAACTGAGGAACCCAGAGGCATCTCTGTGTAAGTGCTAGAGAGGGGATGTAATCATGAGCTGTTTTGGGATATTAACATATTGGTCTTGCCTGCATTGCAGCAAGAGCTGACACAGCTCACACTCCCTAGGCTTCTCCAGCTGAAATTAAGGCTTTCTCACATGTTCCTGAGTACAAGCAAAATGCCTCTCAGGAAGTTATATGCACAGAGGCATCTCCTGCATAAACCCCACATTTCCTGTTCCCCTGTTCCTTGCATTTCTGAAGGGTGGGCTGGCACTCTGCTCGCTGGAGTGGCTGCTCTGGCAGCTCTGTAAATGGAAGCAGTGCAGCTAGGAAGCTTGAGATGGGAATTATGCTGAGACCTTGGTGATTACAGCTCTGGTGTTCCTATAGCAACAGGAGTGAGTGCTGGTTCTTGAAGAAAGCAGGTCCCTTGGGGAGGGCAGAGCTGAGATGCAAACACATGCCTTGCTGGGTTAGACACATTCTCTGGGTGGTGGGGCATCAAAGGTGACCCCAGGCTGGTTGTGGGGTGAGGAGGGGACTGCTCATCCAAGAGCAGATGGTGGTAGAGAAGTGGAGAGCAAGCTCTTCTCAGTGTGGCTCTATTCTGTTGCACACAAGGCTGATTTTCATGTGCTGCTCCTCTCAGCAGTGCAGGGTGTGTTCCTGGAATGGCAGATTGGGATACTAACACTGGAAATTTCAGAGAAGAGTTATCATGGAAGAGACCTCTAAGATCATTGAGTCCAACCATTAACCTGTCACTGCTGTAACCCCTAAACTATATCCTCCAGTACCACATCCAGATGCCTCTCAAA